TTAGTTTCACCTATTAAGTTGCATTACTGAAATAAATGAACTTTTGCACTATATTCTAATTTTTCGAGTTTCACCTGTAAATTTAATAATAAAATAAATTTTGTCACAGCAGCCAACCAGATGCCTTTCAGCTGTTCAAACAAGGAGTGCTACATTTACTTTTTTCTCAATTATGTCCTCCTGCAAAAAGTACACCAAAATGTAAAACTGAGTTTTCAAGACTGATAGCCCTTCATTATTCTGTTTTGCATTAAGTAACCCAACCCATTTTTAAGACACTCTCATAGCTTGTACTAATTTACTTAACATAGAAAATTTATATAATCCCACTACCACTTCAAGCAAATAACTGTAGGCGGCTAATAATACAAAACAATACATACAATTAAAAACAGACATAATAAATACAGAATACAAAGCCGTTATATAGTATACAGGAAAGCACATATTCTTTGCTTTTATTTTAATTATAACTTGGTTTCCTTCTTCTTTATCAATTCTTCCACTTAAATGAGAGCCCTTACATTATATTTCTATAGGATCTTGAATATTATCTACAGATTCATTTGTATTGGTCTCTGCTAACAAGGATATGCCAAGTTTTTACAGCCTTCCATAAGTGTAAGGTTGGAACTGTCTGCCTTTTTGGATTTCCAGGGAAGACACCACACTAAGGGCATTCAGAACATACCCAACATGTATCACTTATGGTTTAAAAGATGATAATCAGCATCTTGAAGTGCACCCAGAAGCCATCTAGAAACCAACACAGCTTGCACTGCATTCTGAATAATTAAAGTTTTCAAACGTGTTTCAAGGGCAGCCCCCATGTGGATCACATTGTAGTAATCAAGATGATAAGAGATAAAGGTGTGATGACTTTAAGTTGATGTGAGTTCATCATCAAGGGATTTGTCACTTCTACAGGAACATCTCCCTCATCCTGCAAACAATTCTCTCCTTGTCAAGGTCCTTGTTCTTTTTGAAGGCAAATAAGCTATTATACTGGGAGTAGCACTAAGTACTACTTCCACCTAGAAGATCTCTTAATACAGGGGTGTCAAATTAGTGGCTCACAGGCCAGTTGTGTCATGCGCTGGGCATGCCCACCCCTGGTTTAACGAGGGGGAAAAGTCATGTTACGTCATATGATGACAACGTGACAATGCAAGTTTGACAGCTGTGTCTTAATACTGCTTTGAATATTTCTAAGCATCTCCAGTACATCAATCTTGGATTTCAAGAAATTGATTCGAACTCTGAGAGTCAGGAGTTCACTGGACTGAACATAAACCCACAATCCATGCTCAACTGATAAAAAGCCAGACAATGTACACATTATATAATACACCAGAAAGCACATCTTCCTTGATTTCATTTTAGTTATTAGTAACTTGATCTCCTTCTTTATAAATTGTTCCACTTAAATGATAGCCCTTGTTTTATATTTTTACAGAAAGTGAGCCATTCTAACCCCACACAATTGTTAACCCTAGTTAAATAATGTAACTATAATGCTAATCTGTAGAAAACAGAAGTTACTGTGTATCATTCTCACAAGATTCTTCCTGTATGTTTGCCAAATAGATCACAAACTCTAAAATGCCATAATATGTAACAAGTGTAAAAGAATAAAAATCTATAAAAATTGTAAACAACAAATTGTAAACAATCTGTTTGCCCACTAGGTCACAAACTTTCTTCTAAAAAGTGCTACTCGGGACTAAACTAGCTAAAGCAATGCTACTCCATCCATTAGTTCATTATCTGAAAAATGATCCATCTGCATCTGTAAGACCTTGAGTTCAAACTGTGTTCTCAGAAAACAAGCAGAGGTATCTCACTGAGTCCTAAAGACCTAATAATCTTATCCAATTATGCAAATAGCCCTCCTTAAATAAGCTTCCCAAATTTACCAATTTCTTCACAAATTTCCCCTATTCCTGTTGGTTTTCTGTTTGCTGATTCTGGCTATCAGCTTCCAAGGCATACAATAATCTGAAGGAGTTTGATAACATCTTTTCAGATTAACAAATGTTATTTTATTAAGTTTTTTATGAGCCATAGCTCACTTCATCAGGTGTACAGAGTGCAGGATTCCAATTGGGATGATACAGGGAGAAGGGAAAGGAAGACAGGGGGGGGGGGGTTATGCAGGAACAGGTTACACATAAGATAATTACAAGTACCTTATTAATTAATAATGGTAATGTCTTTAAAATGTGCTTTTAAAGACATGGAGTAGCTAAAACTCTCTAAAGACCTGATCTCAATTATTTCAGAAAATCTTAACAAACATAAGGATTTTTAAGAAGTTACAATAAAGTAGTTACTGTAAAAGTAAAAGTAAAGTTTTCCCATCTCTAGTCATGTTCATCTCAAGGGAGCGGTGCTCACTTGCTTTCTTACCGAAGGAACCAGCATTGTCTGAAGACATTTCTGTGTTCATGTGGCCAGCATGACTGTATATCAAGGTGCACGGAATGCTGTTACCTTCCCACCAAAGTGGTACCTCTTTATCTACTTGCATTTGCATGCATCCGAAGTCCTAGGTGGGTAGGAACTGTGGTGAGTAACAGGAGCTCACCCTGTTGCATGGCACTCAAGTTTTAAACCCAGGCATTCAGCTTTCCAGCCAACAAGCGCAGTATCTTTTAACTGCTGAACCATCATGCACCCAATCCATGAAAGCATTTTTTTTAAAATAAAAATGTGTTAGTCTGAAAAGATGCTGTCAAACTCCTACTAATTTTGAGGTACCAGATAGACTAACAAGGTTATCAAGACATGAAGGAAAAACTCTTCCCAGTCTTGGTCCTTTAGTATCCACAATTTAATACACTATTTCTACAACTTACCAACTCTCTTGCTTCCTCCAGCTGCTTTTCCACACTTGAAACCAACTGTCTCTTCTCATCTAAAACAAAATAATATATGCTTAGTTGAACAATATTTCTATTCTCAGAGCCATATTTAGTAACCACTTGACAGTACTGAAATCTGGCCTATTTTGCCAGAACTTGGAAGCAAAAGATTGAGTTAAGCTAGTATTTTGTGGAAGACCAACATAAAATTGCACAGTTATAGGCTGAGACTGGGAAGTTGAAAGACATTCCAAAAGAAAGCCATGGCAAATGATACAGCTGATAAGAAAATTGCATGGCCACACTATTTCCAGAAAATTGCCTGGATATATCTATGGAGCCACCAGAAAGTTGCAAGTTTAAGGACATAATAAGGCATCTCTACTTTGTGTACATATTTCGTGTTTGACACTAGATAATTGTTAATCATGCATTTGGCAAGACAGTCTGTGATGGCATTGTTGCTTACTTTGAATCTTTAGCTTATACTCTATTTTCTGAAGGATAGATTTCTATTCATGCAAAGTAAAACCCTAATCATGAATATAGAATGGTTTCCAACATGTTCTAAAATCCTATTTTTCTCTTACACTACTTCCTGTTTCAACCAATATGTGTTTTGTCTTAAGTGCTGTACAAATACATTGCCTCTACAGAGGTTCATGAAGTGTAATTTCAATATCCAAAAAGTTTTTCACAAGAAACCATCCTATCCAGTTCTGAAATATCTCAGATCAGGCTGAGTCATAGGACCTGCAACCTTAGCTAAGCCAGGGCAAGCCAAACCACAGGGGATTAAAGAAAAGGCTATCTCACTTATCATCTGAGGAGGAGCCATCCTCCTTGGTAGGCATCCCATACCTTTCGACCATGAAAAACAGAATCCTGGGGTAAAAAGATCATTGGGTCTGACCAACAGAGTTCTTCCTTAGATGATCAGACTAACTACTTTATCAAGGCACGAAAGGACCACAGTGGTGATAGGTAGGCAGCAGGTCGTGACATCGGCTGGAGAGATGCAGAGGGCTGCCACCCACCCACCATCACCGCCATCACTCACCTCCAACCAACTTGGGGATTTTTCCAATGCGGTTCGTGATCTCAGCGGTAAGAACCGAAAAGTCTTGCTCGTAGCCCTCGAAATCAGAGGACATGATGGCGGCAGCAGCAGCAGCAAGAAAGAAAGAACAAAAAACTGGACCTGAATGTCCAAACAGCCAAACTGCCCGCCGTTGACGGAAGCAAACGAAGCAACCCTCGCCTTTCGCGAAACACCAAAACTCTCAACTATAGCCGCTCCTCCTGTCACCGCCGGAGACTTCCGGATTGAGTCCCACGGGCAAGGTCTTCCCGGGTGCTTTGGACGCCAGTCGAGGTTCCGCTCTCCTATTTTCCCTCATCCGACGGATCTCCCCCGCACCTTTTCCTGACTGGCGTAGTGTAGTCGACGACCTTCACCGGGTTATCTTTTCGAGCAACGCAAAGAGAATAAGAAAGAGGCAGGGAGACCGTCCGTTCGCTGCTAAATACAAATAAAAATTCTGCGGGCCGGGGAAGGCTTTTGGATTGAAACCTCTTTTTTTATCCGCAATGTGTTCCTGTCCGTGGGGGAAGTGTTTCTCCAGGACACTTGCCAGCCTATTGAGGGCATTTCCAAAGTCAGGGCGGAACGGAAGGATTGCATGTCCGGGTTCTAAGAAGGCGTCCCGGGGAAGTAGAGCACGGAGCCGCTGAAAGAGCGCGGTAAATAAAGGCGGAAAGCGGGGATTCCCTTACTGCCTGAAGAAAAGGCAGCGGGGGGGCGGGGGGGAGGTAGCCGGGACCAAGTAGGCTGGGGTTCGTCGCTGGTAAGCCGCGATGTCCCGCCTTGACGGCGATCGCAAAGACATCGGACCTTTCGGTTGAAAGCAAAGGGGTTTGCAGACCCTTCTCTCCCTTCTTCTAATCTAAGGGTAGAAAGGAGGGGGAGAGGCTGTGCCGCGATCAGCCTTTGGTTCTACTTTGCCTGCTGAGTCACCTGTTTTACCATTGAAAGAAGGAGGAGGAGGGTTTTCCTTTATGGTTTCCCTGTCCTTGAAATTGCGAGAAATAGGCAGAGAATATAGAAGCAGACGTAGCACGCGCTTCCCCTGTTGAACTACTTGCCTGTTGCGCCTTCCTTGGACTTCGGTGTCCTTAGAGAAGGGGGAGCAACACCGTGCTATTGTTTTGTATTGCGATGCTCAAAGTACAGATATGGGTTTTTTTTCCTGATCTAATAAATAGGGAAGGATTTCACTCCCTGGGATCTTTGTTGTTTCAATGAATTACTTATATGAGCGTTCTGTATAAATTAACTTCATGTGTAAAAGTTGCGACGGTGTATTGCAAATCAAATCTTTTTTTGTGGTCATAGAGCAGTGATGTAGTATAATTGACCACGGCAGAGTTGTTTAAATACAGATAGTCCTCAACGTACTACTCCAATTGAGTCCAAAATTTCTGTGACTAAGTGAGACATTTGTTAAGTGAGTTTTGCTCCATTTTACAACTTTTACAGTTATAAAGTGAATCACTGTAGTTGTTAAGTTAATAAGACAGTTGCTAAGTGAATCTAGTGTTCCTATGGACTTTGCTTGTCAAAAGGTTGCAAAAGGGATCACATAAGCCCGGGACAATGCAACCATCATAAATATGAATCAATTGCCAAGCGTCTGAATTTTGATCATGTGCCCATGGAGATACTGCAGTGGTTGTAAGTGTGAAAAAATGATTGTGTCACTTTTTGCAGCATCATTGTAACTTCAAATTGTCATGAACTGAACTGTTGTAAGGTGAAGACTACTTGTACTCCAAGAGCAGTATAGCAAATAGTTATATCTCCCAACAGTACTTGTGTCACAGAGCCCATAGGTTATCCTATTCTTCTTGAACTTACTTGGAATGTCACTGAATTAATCAATCTGTAAGATGAAAGAGGCTAAAATAAATACTTTGGATTTTTTCATTATTAGTTAATGGTGGACTACCAGATTGTTCTTTCTTTTGTGAAAAATCAAAACAGTTTTGTAGTGGAGAACTATTCACATTTTCAGATGCTTAATACATACTTAATTACTTTACTGCATTTTTTCAAAAGAAAAAAAAAAAGAAATTGCCTAAATAGACCAAAACAAAAATGTCTGCTAGCCCAGGCATTTTCCCACATGAAGAGCTAACTTCATTGCAGTGCCACAAACAATGTTTGAAGTTTCCTCCTGCTGTGTGACATACATGTTAAAAAAAACATATCTAAATTCTTACTTGCATTTGAAATTAGTTTTTGGACTGTTTCTTAGAATGAGAAACGGATGTTTCATTGGAAATTATTTCAAATGTGGCATTTTTAAATTATTTTCTCCAGGATTTGCTTCATAAACTGTTTGCATCATTTGCCTTCACAAAACAAAATAATTAACAAGGTCCACATTAGACAGAAAAGGTATAATCTTGTTAATATTTACCAGTTATTCTAACTTGTAACAAACTTGGAATCAATTTTCCAGTTCAGATATCAGCTGATTTTTAAAAAATGCAGTGTGTGTGCGCGCACACACACATACAAAATAAGGATCAGAGCCAAACATGACTATAATAGAGAGCGAAGAAAGAACAGGGAATGGGGTGCTCTATAGGCCATTTTTCTGTCAGTGAACCATGATCTGTTGCCCTAAATCAATTTGTTTCTAATAAAAATGTTTATTTTGTAGTTGTTTGGTTGGAAATTTTCTTTTCTTTTCTTTTTGTTCAGGTTCCTGTAGTTGATGATTCTTCCAAATGTGAAGAATGGCTTAAATCCAGCTACTTCAAAATTAGTGTTTGGACATCTTACCATTCAAGTAGAGATGAAAATATATGACAAATGGAAATGTGATCCTAAAAGAAATTGAATGAAATAAGAATCAACTTGAATACAGCATGGGGATGTTTTGTTCAATCATTAGATTTGAAAATCTCTATGAACTGAAAAGACTATGCCACTGGGGACCAATCATAGCACTTAGTGTAATAGCAATATGTTCTGTCATGGCTATCATTGATGCAGTCCTGTGGTACTGGCCTTTGGATACGACAGGAGGAAGTATTAATTTCATCATGCTCATCAATTGGACTGTTATGATCCTTTATAACTACTTCAATGCCATGTTTGTTGGCCCTGGATATGTTCCTATTGGATGGAAACCAGTAAGCAAATAACAGTATGGTATATCCACCCCACCTCCCTTAAAATAATATTTTACTCTGTAAATATTGATTTACCCTGATTTTATGTTAGGTAATTGCTTAGGAAACCTAATTTTTGGATCTATAGAATGAAAGCAAAATGGGAGCCAGTGGGAAATTAATCTATGCACTTTTGTGGATACTTGCTGAATATAAATAAACCTATAAATAAACCTGTTCAATTCAATTCAATTCAATATATAATTGCCATTGCACATCTAAAATTATAGTCTACCTCCTTCCAGATATATCTCTTCACTGGATAGCACTAGCTAAACAACAGATACCTTTTAAAAAACCTAATTTCTTTCTGGGAAAAAAAGTTATATAGTGAGTAAGGCAGCTTGCAGGTAAGACTCATTGAACAAGGTGGTAATACATCTGAGATTATGGTTTATCAATTCCACCACCCTTACACAGTTACATTGATTTTTTTGTTCTTGTGCTTTAGGCTTGTTCCTGCAGCAGGAAATTTGTTATAGATATTTTACTTCCCGAAATTCTGCTTTAATGCATAGATGAACTTTATAAGATACTTGTTTCCTTTATCAGTTTCTATTTGTGTGTGTGTGTGTGTGTGTGTGTGTGTGTGTGTGTACACACACATATATATATATATACTGCTTTGTTTTTAGGAAAACTCTCAGGACTCCATGTATCTTCAATACTGTAAAATATGCCAATCTTACAAAGCACCACGTTCACATCACTGCCGAAAATGTAACAGGTACTATTGCTAATAAATACTGTTCATTGGATAAAGTTAATA